CTCCCATCTTATGGTAACAGAGAGCCTGTGATTGCTGGTTAATCCTGTTGCAAGAATGCAAGTTTGATGAAGTAGGGGCCTATACTGCTCTTAGGAGTACCTTAGGCCTATACTACTCTCTGGGATATGAAATGAAAAAGCATTCTGAAGCATTTTTAGCTGACCACCTTTCCTTTGGTCCGTGTTCTGATATTTGCTGCAATAACCCCTATTCTCAGCATAAAGATTTAATCAGTGTCCCTTCTGAATCCCAGAAGCTGTATTTTTTTTTTTAAAAGGCAGTTTCTCACAGTTATAAAGTTTTTGCTAAACAAAAAAATGAAAAAGTTAAACACATAAACAGTAAGCATGTTTGGGACTGTATCTGTATTTTGTTCAGTCCAGGATACTAGAATGCATACACAGACATACAAATGACTTAAATAACGACCATACAATGACCATGTACAAGCATGAAGAGAAACAGTTATCAAAACCCTACACTGTATATTATGGTATTGCCTAGAGGTAATAACTTGAGATTAGATTCATTATTATTATTTACATTGGAGGCCTCAGTCTTACTGGATTTATGGCACTGTTGTCTTTTATGCTCATATTTCTGTAGTATAATTCAAGCACTGCCCAACACATCATAAAAGAACAGTTATGTCATCAAAAAGTGTGACATGGGTATAATAAGACAATGGTAAAGGCGAAGACGCTTGTTTTCCATCAGTCATCTCAAAAACACCTGCCTTCACTTTGTCACACTCTCTGATATCTATTTTGTAGGATGATATTATTTTTGGATCAGGTACACCTCTGGATGCAAACACCTTAAATCCGGAAAATTAATATGGCTGCTAACTTACTACAGAGGGCTGTCCACCTGGCTACATGTGAACCACAAGGGGTTAACATGCAGCACATGGTCTCCCTCCTGGCCACTGTTACTCCCATTGCTCTTGTTGCTGTTGTGGCCAGGGGCTCTGGGCTTTCAGTCTCTCTTCCAGCTTCTGCTTTCTGCCCTATTCTTGGAGCAGGGCAACATGGTGGGTGGGGTGGGGCACAGGGAGGGCTGTGCTGCCCATGATTAGTGTGCAGCTAGGAAGAGCAGAACCAGAGCAGGTACCATGAGGGGGAATCCAGGAGGGCTGCTCCTAGGGTGTGAAACCTGTGCAGCATACAGCCTGGGGGAGTGTCTATGACCTGTGTGGTGTTTAGCTCCCTAGCACCAAGAAATAGGACAGCCCTGATCTACTGCTATGTTAATGCCACTAATGCATCATCTATCTTCTAAGTAAAGCCACTCTATTTACTGAAAGTCAAGATATAAATCATTGAGTTAGAAAATGGAAGTTGTGTCTCCTACAGTCTCCCTCTTTTGTTCATTGTATTAAAAAGAACCATAATATAGCTGACTTGGCACTGGGAAGTTTCAAGGCAATAATTAATCCCAAGATCCCCAATAGCTAAGAGCTAGTTTACTTACCACTCTATCACCATTACTTAGATATAAGGCATCTTTAAAAGCTTAAGGATTTACCTTAGCTACTCCTTATTAAAAAGATCCAGAAGGTAGAATCTTAGAGATGTTACTTTTAGAGACCTACCTGACCCAAGAGAAAAGGAGAGACCATTACAGAAAGTAGAGTGTCTTATTAACATGTCCTAATGAAAAATAAAGCAGAGAATCTAGCAGGAAAAAGATGTCCTTGCATACTACTGGCTGGAAAGACTGACAGCAGAGGTTAGTTTTAAAATGGCACAATGTCTTTGAATTTCTTCAACTTAAAGAGTTCAAAAAGAGATTATGAAGGTATATTAAATATCACTGGTATCAAACTGCTTTCACTCATGATAATTCAAGCAATTGAGCTCCTCCCCACCCCCACCCAACATATGCTTTAGATCAGAATCCAAAAGAGGAGCACTCACTTTGCTTTTAAAGATCCAATAGCAACAGTTTGGACTTTTAAGGAGCTCAAACCCAGATAAAAAAGTTAGAAATGTAAAATTTGAAAGAATTTAAATTTATATCCTTGCATTATGCTCTTAAGAGGTCCAGATTAACATACAAAAAAACCACAGTTTACATGTGAAGATAGTGCTGTGGAAACCACTGTTCTGTAAAATCCTCCTTCATCAGCCTAAAGTCAGCCAACTGATCTGTGACAAAGGCCCTAATGGATGAATGGCATTAGGCCAAAATAATCTTGGAATAGTTATATAGGGATTCAGGCAGCCTAATAACCTAAGCATCCCGGGGTACCTTTGAGAAATTTGGCTATTACAGGTGAGTAGAATAGAGGCATGATGTGTGAAACTTTCAAAGGAAAATGGTCAGATTTTTGAGGACTTAAAAAAAATCTACTGAAGGCAAATGGAGTATTGATGGTTGCATTTTCTTAAGCAGTTTTAAACGTGTCCATCTGCCCTATAGTTCTGAACCTTGGTAGCATGGATGACAGAGTGGAATTGAAAAATTCCTTTCTTCCTAACAAGGATTTGGTTGCCATGCTGTTTGTGCCCTGACTGACAGCAGCTGATGCCATCGCTTGGATCTTCCCTAATTTGCCCTGTAGATCCTGGCTGAAGTAATAATAATTTGTTATTTGCAATAGTTTATAGCCAATTGCACAAGAGGCAGTCCCAGGTGACAGGATGATCAAAATGACTATTTCTATCAGGTTCCTGTCCATTATGCCTATCATCAATTTAAAGGGTATAAGAATGACCATTGGTGGAGATTTGTATGATGAATGTAGTATATTAAAAAAAATAAAATGACCAGGGAGCTGTAAACCAAAAACTGGAGTGGATGAAAATGAAAGCTTGCACATGAAACTAAGCGCAGGCTAGTTAGTCATCTGCCAGATAAAGATGCCAGAATTAGATCCACGCAGGATTTTTTTGGCTAATTTTTATCACTGAATGCCTATTTGCCAAAAGCGAAACTTTTCATGAGAACATATATACCAGTTCTGACAGGAAAGTCTTTTTTTGGGGCAGGACTGAATTCTAGTCAAAAAGAGAGCAAAAATGAGAGCCTCATCCATTCCAGAAGTATAGGCAGCATTTATGATACTCAGCTGAGATGTGGGAGACAACTTCAAAATCCCTGCTCTGCTTCAGCTGAATCAAAGACTTGGATCAATCCTCAGCCTTGTACATCCTAGATGGCTACTATACTCATGAAGCTATTGGCTATCTGAAAATGGGTCTGTCTCTGTCTCTCCTACTGTAACTGTTCTGCTTTGTATAAATAATTAAATATTAATTGGAATGGAGAGAGCAAGAACCTGACTTCATATCCCAGAAAGACAGCTCATTCACTTGTTGGCTTGGGTGAAGGAAGAACAGATTTGAAGCTCAGTTTCCCAAATTCCCAGGCGAGTGCCTTGATCACTGAGCTATTGGCTACGTTGGAGTGGAGAAAGATCTGTCTTGCTACCTCAGGAAGAAAAAACTAATGGTCAAGATTGGAAGCTGGACTACTTCTCCCAGATGCAATCCTTTTTGTGGCACTCCACTGCTGCAAATGAGATAGAAAGCAGACTTAAAAACTGGCTGGAGGTTACTCCTCTGCATGGGAACCCTTAGGCAGCATAAAGCCAAAGTAACCAGCACTGCAGCTGCCCTTTCCATTTTAGATGTCAGAGTGGGACTGGAGAGTTATGGCTAGAGCATTCTACAAGCTAAACATTACAAGGTAAAACAGCTTTGAAGCTGAAAGTTCAGGGAAAAGAAGGAAGAATAGATTCAGGATCAATATTGTTTTACATTCTTGTGTTATAGCATGATAAACAATATAAGACTTACAGTCCAAGATACAGATATGGTACAGGCTTTATGGTACCTCTGTATTAGTAACTCAGGATGTCTTACTCAGTGAATAGATTTAACAGAAAATTATTAATTTGTATGAATTTGGAATTAAGTAAGTGAGGCTAAGAAACGGAAACATTTGATTTAATGACTGCACAATTTCAATACATAAAAATAGATACTTGGTAATGAACAAATTTATACAAAGCAGATTTCCTTAGCCAATGTACAGAACAACTGCAGAGATAAAAAAGGTTGCTAAATTACACAGCAAGACAAAAGGACAACAAAAGGTAGATGAGCAAATAACATTAAGTGATGAGATTAGAGGCTTATTTAATAAATACGGTGTAATGCTTTCATTTAACAAATACAAAATTCATATTATATCTAATGTATTAATGTCAGGAAATATAAAATGCAACTGCATGACAATTAGCTACCTTATTTCAAAACTGATGCTAATATAATAGCTTTTTAGAATTCTGAGGTAATATTACACAGTAACCTCCCCGCCCCCAAGAAACTTTTAATAAATAAAACTGAACAAAGTGCAATTTTGCAATAAAAAAAGACGAATGTAAAGCTTTTGTCTTAGTGATGATGGGCAGAAACTTATTAAATGCGGGCTTGAGTCATAAAATATTTTGTCTCGTTTATGTGCGCTATTACCCGAAAAATTGTGTAGCTATTAATTCATAAGCCAACTATCCATGAATTAGGCTCTAAAGAACAACAATTGTTTCCAGTTTAAATTAATAAAAATATACTTAATTCTGATTTCTTATATAACCACTGTTTTTGTGCTTATTAGTATTAGTATTTGAAATTTCTTACTAGTTCAGGCAGTGCAATGATGAAGCACTTCCCTTAACTCTGCAATCGGATTTTTTTTTGGGATGTCCAGAATAAAAGAGCAATTCCAAAGCTTACTTTTATAAAGCACTGGCCAACAAATTCTATAGTCAATGGGAGTTTCATCAGTCTTATGTAGGAGCAGAGAGTTAGACCAATATTAAAGGCTTTAAAAAACCCAAACAAACCAGTGCTTATTTCTGCTCCTAATAAAATAAAAATGGTAAAATTGTCCACCACCTTTAAGGACAAAAATAGAATGAAATGTGTATTTACTACAGAATTACTGGCTTTGGAATTACAGAGTAATTAGATGTTTATTCACCATATAGAAATATGCTGGTTGTGTGCAAGCAGTATAGAAAGTAAAAAAAAATAAAAATAAAAAAGTTAATCTAAATCATTTTACTGTTATTGCAAATAAGCAACGCATGCCCAGATTATCAAAAGCAATCAGGCACTTACTTCCAATTATTTATAACACTATATTGATGCAACAGACAAAGAAATTTGATGCTAAAAGATAAATTCTAAATCTGTTTAAACAATGTTGTTTGTAATGGGAGTTGGATGCCTGATTACCCTTGAGGATCTGGGTTTTAGTTCTGTTAAAAAAAATAGAACACGCAATAGATATTTCTTTATATAAAAATATACAAACACTATGCCGCATGCTGATAAACTGTCTTAACTTATGAATAAATATAGACTTATAATTATGCCAAAAAAAGTCTCTCTCCACCACTGTATTAGCTAAAACATTCAAAACGTGAGTAACCTGGCATTTACTTCAATACGTGCAGTGAAAAAAACCCCAAAACATTGTCTAAATTCTGACCTTCAAGTTAAATGAAAGCTACAGCATTTTAATAAAATGTTATTGTATTCACTTTTGTCAGAGCTTCTTTAAATATTACTAAAACATTTCCAACATAAAATTGTTGATTCAATGACAGTGGAGCACAGTGTACAATTTTTCCATGCATTGTGGAAATAAGTTATCTCTGAAGTGAGTAAATGAGTTAAACTTCCTTTCTTCATCCAATTGCTTTATGTAATCTGTGGTTACAAAACTAAAATGAAACTGACTAGTTTTCTGCCAATTTCACGGAAAGAACATGCAGCTTATTTATTTAATACTAATAGTCTGCCTTGAATCAACTTAAATTTTTAAAATTTTACCATAGACATTCCTATATAATCAAGCCTGTTGATCTGTAAAAGCTGAATATATAACATCTAAACCCCCATATTTTGTAAAAATAAATCTTTAGCAGTAAATGGCACTATCAAAACCCTATTCTTTCAGAGGCATTTATTTACATGCTTCTTAAAACATCCAGCTTAATTTTTTTGAAATTAAAACTAGAATATTAAAACTGTATACATTTTATCTACACTAAAATTGCTATTTGCCCCTATGAAAATATGGCCACATACTTCATGTTAATGGCAGTTATGTGCTTTGCTACTATGTGTAGTGATTGAAAACATCCCACCACTGGGCTTAACTAACAAACTCTTTTATGTTTCTTTTCCCAGTGGAACATGCATGATGTAAATTAAGAGTAAAGTGCTATTATGAATAACCAAAGATAAAACTATAACCTTCAATTTGTCACCTCTGTCAGATTTTTTCTCTCAAGTAAATCAGCTTTCTATATTTTATTAAAATTATTCTCTGTGCCAAAGCAAGCAGTAAGTGTATTGTCATACAGCAAAAATGAATGCTTTTTAAATTTAATTAAAAAATTTCAGTGTTCCAAGTTGGGTAAGACTGGCATAGTATCAAGAGACAGAAACATGAAAAGCTTAAAGGCACAAGTAGAGGAAAGTGAGTGCTACATAAAAATGCTGTTTTTTTTTTTTTTGTAAAGTCTTTCATTTTATTCTAGACCAAAACCTTCTGCATTTGAAATTCCAATTGTCAGCTTCTGCTTCAGTTCCTTTTTGTTCTTGTAAGGAGGGAGGCAAAGCTGGTTGAAGCAGGTATGGGCCACAGGTAACCTAAAAAAGTTAAAAACAAATAGTACATTTTCTATACAGAAATGAAACAGAACTAGGATATCATAAGGTACTGATATCTTTTAAATCATGCAGATTGCTTTCACAAAACCCATTAGAAGAATTTGTTGCTTATTACAGTAATTTATTTTAGTAAGTTGTTATACTAGTTCTCTGAGGTATGTTCTCCATATCTATTCCATTGCTACTGAACATACATCCTAAGGACTGCATTCTTTTTGTCAGCAGAGTTTGCTTGGGGCAATGTCTGCTCCCCGACCATCCTTATGCTTCCTGAGGGCAGGGGTCAGCAACTTTTTGGCTGGAGTGCCAAAAATACCCCAACCTCAACCCATGCCTTGGCTTGGCATGTCAAGGGTAGGGGTGTGCTGCGGGAGAGAGAGGGGGAGGAAAGCTGCAAGGGGTCCAATCCTCACTGCTGGTGGCAGGTGCATGGACACCTCTAGGCAGATGGCAGGGTAGGGGCTGGGGTTACTTTGCCCTGCTGCGTGCCACAAGGTGCATGTGCAACTTCTGCTGGCCATGGAGCCCAGGCTTGCAGCAGACAGGCTGCAAACAGCTGCACTGAGGTCTGGAGTCCCAACCTTGTTCCATGACTGGTGGTGGCTGCACGTGTGCCTTAGCACACAGCAGGGAAGGGGCCAGGGCAATGCCTCTCCCCTGCCAGCTATAAGCCAGGCAGGGGTGCTGCAGACCTCGGTGCAGTGGCTTGCAGCTCCCAGCAACAGCTGCCCCCAACTGCTGTACTCTATGGAACCTGGTTGCTTGTAGCAGGTGGCAGGGAGGCTGCAAACAGCTGTACCAAGGTCAACTGAGCCCTGGCCTGACTCATTGTTGGAGGCATCTGCACATGTGTCTCCAGGTAGACAGCGGAGGAGGGGCTAGGGTTGCACTGCCTCTGCCTCTTCCCTGCCGTGCACTCTTAGGTGTGTGTGCAGCCGCTGCCGGTGCTGGGGCTCCAGTGCCCAGTGCAGCTGTTTGCCACCCCTCAGCTGCCTGCCACATCCGGTCAGAGCTCTGGGCAGTTGCTGCCTACCATGGAGCCCAGGCTGCTTGCAACAGGATGTGTAGCCTCCCAGCTGCCTGCTGCGAGTGGCCTGGGCTCCATGGCCAGCAGCAGCTGCCCAGAGCCTGGGCCGGTTGTGGCATGACAACCGAAATGGTTTCATGTGCCATGCTCTGGTACGCATGCCAGGGGTTGCCAATTCCTGTCTTGAGGGTATAAAGAGCAGAGCAACCACAACCAAACCCCAGTTTTTTGCCAATATCAAATCTAGATATTATCACTGTTGTGGTAATGGAAAAGAAGGTAGATTATGGAATGTTTGATCAAAACCTCTTGAAGAACCATAGAGTGCTTTTACATTTTTGGGGGGACATGGCACTGGGCGCTTTAATTAGTGAGCTGCACTCTTAAAGATGCTTGCGCATCAAGTGTATCAGCATCCCCATGCTGAAAAAATGGCAGCAGGGCACTTTGAACTAAAGCTCATTGAATGTGTTTTATTTCAAAGAGCCCCATCACCATTTTTGTAGTGCAGGGACACCGATACACATGACGCAGAAGGCTGCCAAAGCACGTCAATTTCCATGCTCCGGCAGACTCATAGTTTCACAGAAGCAAGGTTGGAGGGGACCTGAGCATATCATCTAGTCCGACCCCCTGCCATGGGCAGGAATGAATACAGGGCTCTTATGACCCCTACTAAGTTTAAGCCCAAATGACCCCAGCTAGGCCTGTGCAAGTAGGCAGCGATCCAATCTGGGTTTGGATCCAGCCGCTTTGGATGGCCGTGATCCGATCCGGAGCTCCGGACCGGGTTTCTGCCTCAGTCTGGCCGAAGTGGCTCTGAAGCTTTGGAGCCGCCTTGGAGATCCGACCATAGGGTGTAACGGGGAATCAATGAAATATCTATAACTTTGTTGTTTTTTTGTCTGATTTGGATGAAACTTGGAGGGATGGTAACATCTGCTGAGAGCATGAAACCTGCCAAGTTTCAAGAAGATCAGTGCAGGAGTTTGGGGGGAACTGTACCCCAAATTCTCAAAAGCCAAACTCATGTCACAGCTGTGTGTTACAACACAGGGAGATTAAAACCGCAGGGGTGGTAGCTCTTAATGAGGCCACAAAGTCTGCCAAGTTTCAAGGAGATAGGTGCAGGGGTTTGGGGGGAACTGCACCTCAAGCTGCAGACAAGCAAAACTCGTGCCATGGGTGACACTGCATGTGTTAAGGCACAGCAGGGTGACAGCTGCAGCGATAGTGGCCCCTCCTGAGGCCACAACCCCTGCGAGGTGTCAAGGAGATTGGTGCAGGTGGGTTCTGGGGCCCTGCACCCCTAGCTGCTGACAGGCAAAACTCGTGCCAAGACTGTCTGTGTCTTGGGGCAGCTGTCTGTATTGATTCTTTCCTGTCCTTAGCCTGGTTTTGTAGGTGCTAATTGATGCTTGTTAAGTTGTTATGTAGTAGCTAGCTCCTGTGTATTGAGCTGGTCCCAGAGTCCCTGGTCCCTGAGCAAATCATGATTGATTGATTGATTGGTAACTGGTAACACAGAAGCTTAGCAGCCAGGCGTGCAGTAGTGTCTCCCCTCCCCGCCCCAAGACGGACACAGTCAGTCCCATAAGCACCCATGGCACGCGTTTTGCTTGTCCGCAGTTCCCTCCAAACCCCTGCACTGATCTTCTTGAAACTTGGCAGGCTTTGTGGCCTCAGTAAGAGCTACCACCCCTGCAGTTTTCACCCCGCTATGTTGTAATGCCTAGACATGACATGAGTTTTGCTTGGCCCCCTAGCCAATTTGCAACCTACCTGTGTAAGCATCAACACCACAGTCACCTAGCTTTTTAATGAGAATGTGGTGGGAGACGGTGTTGAAGGCCCTCCTGAAGTCCAGAAAGACATCTACTGCGACACCCGTGGTGTCCAATGATTTTGTGACCTGATCGTAGAAGGCTATCAGGTTGGTCTGACAGGACCTGCCCTTAATGGACCCATGCTAGTTGCCCTTGAGTATCCTCCCCCTGCTGGTCCCTCCCAGATGTGCTCCTGGATAATTTTTTTCAAAGAGCTTCTCCAGGACTGAAGTAAGACTAACAGGCCTGTAGTTGCCTGGGTCCTCCCTTTTTTGAAATGAGGACCACACTGGCCTTCTTCCAGTCTTCTGACACCTGGCCAGAGCACCATGAGTGCTCGTACAGCTTTGCCAAGGGCCCCATGATGACCCCTGCCAATTCCCTCAGCACCCTGGGGGGGAGAGGTTCTGGCCCTGCTGATTTGAACATGTCCAGCCCCTCCAGAAGTTCCCTAACTTGATACTCCCTGACCCTAGGCCTGGCGGAGTCACTCCTGAGTCTGTTCTGTATCCCGGTGGGGGAAAAGTTCCGGTCCCTGCTCAGAAAAATGGAGGCAAATAATTTGTTAAAAAGGTCTGCTTTTTCATCTGGTGCAACCACCAGGTTGCCAAGCATATCCTGCAGGGACCCCATGTTGCCTAGTACCTTCTTTTTGCTCCCTATGTATTTAAAAAGGACTTTCTGTTGTTCTAGATCCTTGTTGCTAGCGCTAGTTTCATCTCCACCTTAGCCTTCCTAACAGCCTCCCTACGTACTCTTGCTATGGAGGTATACTCCTCTTTGGTGATAAAATTCCTGGACCCCAGGGTCTACCCAGGAGCCTAGGCACACACCCAGGCTTGAACTTACAACTCTATGGCCCTAGAGTCAGCACACTCCCCTCTAGGCCAAGACCCAAACAGCTAGGCCAATACAAGATTAATCAAGTCTGTTCTGATGCACTGGATTCCAGGCTCCCCCCCATGTCTATAGGAGCCCATAGTTTTTGTAAGAAAGGTTGAAGAATTCAAGCTAATATCTTAGTAAAAATCATGGTTTACTGTACACCAAAGGCATACTCCCATAGACATGTCTAGGAAGGAGACAGCTCAGGAATTTTAGGTCTAGCCTAAAGAGTGCACTCTTGCAAGCATGAACAATTTGCAAAAATGTCTTCTTAAGGCATGTTACTGTTCCACTAACTCAGTTCCTTCATCATGGAGGCCTTTGCACTGCCCTAGGTGCTCAACCAAGCACCAGGTGAAGTTTCTCTGGGTGCATTCATACGTGCACTTTACTGTGGAGTTGACTAATTAGCTTCCGTAGTAAAGCGTTACTGTCTAAATGTGCACCAGTATTAGGGCACAGTAAATTAAATTTCACTGTCTGAGAAAGAGGTTAAGGAGGAGGCATCACACCTCTAGACCAGTGGAGCTCAGCCTTTTTGCTTGGCGGGCTAGATTGGCAGTGCTCAGTCTGTCTGCAGGCCAGATCCAGCCAGTGTGCCTCATCTGGTGCCTGGGTGGGCACAGCAGGCACCATCTGGCCACACTGAAGGGGGCAAGGGGTAGGCCAGTTGCAGTGCAGCCCTGCAGAGGACAGGACATTGTCCTGGCCTTGTGGAGAGGAAGGGGCCCAGCACTGCGAGAAGGTGGGGGTGGGGGTATGGCCAGATCCTAACCTGGCCCTGCAGGGAGGGAAGGGGACATGGCCAGACCCTGGACGGGGAGTGGGAAAGGAGAAGGTGAGGCCAGGCCCCACCAGGCCTCACAGGGAAAAGGTGCATGACTAGGTCCCAACCCAGGTCTGCAGAGAAGGAAGGGGGTGGGGCCATGGTGCCTACAGGGAAAGGGGTTGCAGCCAGCCCAGCCTGTCCCTGACCAGCACAGGACTTTGGTGCAGGGGAGAGGGTGGCTGTTTTAATGGCCAGTACACCCCTGCTGCAAAATTTCCCAACCCACTGGGAGCCCCATGGGCCAGATGTGATGGCTCCATGGGCCTCATTTGGCCCAAAAGCTGGTGGTTAAAAAACACCTGTTCTAGACCATTGGGAAGTCAGACAATCTGCATTTATGGACATTGAGCATCCATAAATCTTACAGAAATCAACAGTACTGCAGGTGTTTGTCAACTTCGAAGCCTTCTATAATGTATACCTTGAAAAGCATATTTTATATATATAATGGCTTTAATTTTAGGCACTATTATTGCCTTGATCCTTCAATATGATCCAAGCAGGTGGATCTTTATGTTTGTGAAGAGCCAGAGTAAAATCAATAGATGAGTGAAGATCAGTGCTCAGATGACACTGTTGGACTCCTTTGACTGAAAAGCTGTTTCTTGAATTAATTCTTCAAGAATTCGAGCAGGTAATTAAAAGAAACAAACAAACAATGCTAAGGTATAAGAACAACTCATTTACAAAAGCAAAAATTGTACTCCATACGTAAACACTGCTCAGGAAACTGACATTATTAAATGACAATCTGTTAAATTCATACAATAAAGTTGTTAGTTTTAATATTTGAAATTTCAAGCTAAAATAATCTAATAGTTTTTCAGTTATAAATTCAATTTACGTTGGTCTGTTTACAACACACGCAAATACGCTAGTTCCATGGAAAATAAATGTAACATCTCAAAATAAAAAGTTACGTACCAGTTAGTGGATGTTTCACTCTTTGAAATCTTGAAATTCAAATCTGCCATCCCTCCCACAGGTACTCTGTCACTTCCAGTAGCAAAATGAAGCAGCTTCTTTTGAAGGTCAAGTGGAAATCCTAGAACTACCTCCCAGAAGTATCTACATTAAATAATGGGGAAATAAAATTACTATCCTGACAAAAGCAATTTGGCTGCTTGCAGATGTTAAAAGCACAAAACAAAACAAAAAAACCCGGCGCTTTATTTTAAACTGCGCACTCCCATGGTGAGCCAAGCACATGCCCAGAAGAGGCAGTGCATTAATTGGGCCCAGCTTGCCCGACATCTGTATAGATAGGGCACTTTAGTGGGGCATTTTTGACATTTCTATATAATAGTTGATTGAATTGGCTTTAGATAAAAGCACAACAAAGCCCTGCTGAAGCATCCAATATATATATATATATGTTATGGAGCTGGGTCAAAGTAACGCATTGCTGCTTCTGGTAAAGTGTGATTTTTTTGGGGTGGGGGGGTGGGGGTGGTAGATGGGGTTTAATGTCTAGCAGCCTTTAATGCTGCCTTTACAACCTAGGCTCAAATACTGCCATGTAATGTAAAACAAATACAAAATTTAAATGCAGAAGAAAAGTCAGATCTACCAACATATGTATGGTTTTAAAAACAGTTTAGTTTGCAAGTAATGCACATGGTTATACACATTTTAAAATAGATTGTCAATGACATTTCTCAATAAATAATTCTTATTCAGAGCTGGATTTTATACCTGTAGTAGTGGGATAGACTGAAGATAATGTGTTCGCTGAGGTATGCATGCTCTTACCCCTAACTTACAAATTTTTTTAACCAAATATTATTTAAAGAGGCAATGTAACTTAACAGGTATATTTCTGTCTGGAACCATGTTAAATCTTATTATTGTTCAAAGAAACCATAAAAGTGATTGTAAGTTACTACTTCATGTGCTCCTACCATAGCTGCTTCCCAACCTGGTTCAGAGAGGCATGTGGTGCAATTCCACCTTGCCACAGCAGTGGTGGCACTAGGGTGAATATAAATTATAATGATCAGATAAATTAAGAACATATTAATAAAATTATAATGTTTATAATATATTTAAATTTGGGTTTTTAATGGGGTGCTGCTAAACATTCAAAGGGGCGGCTGCAGTATTAAAAGGGTGAAAACCACTGTTCTAGGTAGATGACGTCACTGTTAATATGCTATTAGAAAACAGAAATAATTGTAAAAAGATCACACAGTGGATCAGTGAAATAACTGAAATTATTGCTCTTTAAAAATGGATAGACTTGTAGCTGCATCCTTTTAAAGGTACAGAAAGAAATCAGTGAAGAGCAAGATATCAATAAGGAGGTTTAACTACAGTAATTTTTCCTATTTAAGAACATCTGAATACAGCATCTTCATCTCATTTTGAAATATTTCTTTTACACTTGTCATATATTAGTAAGTCTAAAATATATTTGATACCCCTTTAGAAAATATCATAGAATGATGCATTATTGGGAACACAAATCTGATTTTTAAGCACAAATTAAGTCTACCTTATAGTAAGATCAGTTTTCTGGTATCCCTCATACTGGGTGCTTTTCTGTAGAGCATGCATGTCCAGTTCAGGGCTTCCACAAACAAGAATTTCAACCTCTTCTGGACGAAGCAACTGCCAAAAAAAACATTACACCATTTACTGGCAGAACACTTATTCAAGATAAATAATGCTAACAGGATTCAAAATTATAACTGATTTTTGAATGTACTGAGGAAAAAACTACTAGTGAGCAAAATGTATTGGCTAGCATTATCCTTCTGTGCATTCTTATTACTGTGCTCATGCTTCCTTTTTATTACGCTTGTTACATTATTAAATGTCAATGACAAAAAGGGAATCATGTAACTGGTTTGGGACAGAAACTTTAAATTCAAGTTTGTTTGCTTGGCACACCTAGCACAAAGGAGGCGCTGATTTTAATTTTCATTATTTTTTGCAGTCTGGTAGCACCAGAGGTCCCAAAGAAAATCAGCACTTCAAAATGTTAAAAGCACCACTGCCCTGAGGAGTTTATAATATAAACAAGACAGTCTAAAGTTTGGAAGTGAAACACAGGTGCAGAGAATTGAAATGACACCTCTGGTTGCACAGCAGATCAATTTCAGGACTGGGAACAAAACCCAACTTCTATACTAGCGCCCCATCCATTAGACCATGCTGCCTCCTTTGGGCCTTCAGCTGGTATTGCAATGCAAATATGAAAATAAACTAAATAAAAAATGAATTCTGAAACCACAGCTGCATATTATAGTTTGCTGCAAAAGCTTTAAAAGTACGTCAAAGCATTTCAATGGACTTTCATTCCCCATAATGAAGCTTCATTGCATTTAGTAAAATATTTCTAGATGAAGATGGCCATACTAGACCAACCTTACTGGAAAGCAGAAATGCTCATCACCTCCTCTTCTTAATTTTTTCTGACTTAAAAAAGGGGAAGGACAAAAGATACAATACAAAAGAATCCCTGACTCTTGGTCTTGTACATTCTTCCAATACTAGAGAAAGCTAGTTAGTGACGTTAGATTAAAGTCAGGCAGAAAACCAGGGAAGGGTAACACCACCTTCAAGACCAACTATGAAAGCTTATGTAGTTAGCATCTAAGATGCCACCCTGCCCTGCCTTCTACTATTCTTCCAGTGGAAGTTAATATGAATATGGGGTTTTGGAGGTCAATCTCACACACACACACTTTCATAATGTTTCCCAAGGAGTACATGGTCTTATTCTTTATGGTAATTGATGATCATGCTCATGGATCATTACAGATAGTGCAGACACTATCCTCATTACAGAAACTGGTTCCTAGGTGGGTAGCATACAATAGTTTTTGAACTGGCTGCTGGGTTTCTTTTTTAGGTTCCCCAAAGCTACCAATGGTTCTAATTTGGATAGAAAGGTCTGGCTTTAGAAAACCTGTCACAGGAAATTAATGTTTTGCTCAGTGTTTCAGGTTTGTCTGAGAGAGATAGGCAGCTGCTCTCTCCCCTACTACTAGCTAGCTGTGCTTATTTCATTTCAATACATCTGGATCTCAGTTCTTAAGCTTCTGTCACAGCTTACAAAGCACTTCGGAAGCGGATACTAGAAGGATGGCAAAAAGGTGGTCAGCAGAGGGAGGCAATGTACAGCCAATGATAAAAATAAGAGACAGAGATCACGAGAGCGCGAGATAATCCATTTAAAATAATGCTCCCTCTTCCTTCCATGGGTCCAGCATTTTCCCTATGGCTTGCCTCTACTTCCAGTGAATATATATATTAGACCCAGGGGGGTAGGGGTAGGTCCCTGGAAGTAGAGGCAAGCCATACAGAAAATGCTAGACCCATGGAAGGATAAATGGATTTATACTTTATTCTGGCTTTTGGGTGATTTTCTTCCTTTTTCCCCTCCTCCCATTAATTTCCAAGATAAGAATAATTAGAAATTCACCAACATGCCCACAGAATTACCTATTAAATCAAGACAGTTGTAGGTCTATCCAAACTCTAATAAAAACCTGTCACTAATTAGTTTTTTTTGCATATTATCAACTATGTATGAGGAAGGAAGCGAACAGGGGGAACAAACAAGGCAGGCAGTTTGCTGGGAACAAGAGAAAGAAGGGGAAGGGAAAGAGACGCCAGGCAGCAGGCATTAGATCCTGCCCAGGGAAGGTAAGTGATCCAGAGCTGCCTGTGCCATTGGCTTGCTGAGAGTTTGTGGGGTGGGCTGGGCTGTGTGTTTGGGGTGTGCGCTCTGAGAAGCTGGGAACATTGCTAGTTTAGTGACTGCTGATTCCTGAGTGATTGCTGCCTGTGCCTGCCAAAAGCCTAGCAAGGGGGTGGAGTTAATCCAGGCCCAGCAGGGTATAAAAGGAGACTCTCAGTACCACCAGGGAGCAAACAAACAGGGGCAGCAAACAGGGCAAGCGGTTTGCACCTTTCCCTCCCCACTCCTGTTTGAGGGGAAAGCTTAGTGTGAGGAAGCAGGAAAAAAGGAACCCTTTGCCAGGCCAGCTTCCAGGCAAGTTCACTAGAGAAGGTGTGCTTGGAAGAAGGGCAGAAAGAGAGAAGAGACAGATTAAGAGACCCAGGGAAGTGGCTGGAGGACGCTGCAATGCCAGAGCCACTGCCTCTGCTTGCACCTGTGAGGTTTCTGTCCAGGCAGGACTGCTCGCCACTGAGGCTTTCACCCAGGTCCAGGTTTGGTGCTGTAGGGACTGTGCTTGCAGGTTCTGTCTCGTGACGGCCAGGTGGGGTGCCCCTTGGCGGTGTCTCTCAGGGAACAGGCAAGAGAGCTACAGGAGGAGATGGTGAGGCTCCAAAGCATCCTCTGCCATGGGGAATTCATTAGTTTGATACTGGAGGAGACCTCTGGGACTGTGGAAGAGGAGCTAGAAAAGGATGAGGACATGGACTCTCAGGAAGGTGAAAGATGGAAGCTTGTGACCTCTGGCAGAAATCAGAAATCTTCATCTCCATGTGCAGCAGTGGAGAATCACAGAATCATAGCAATGGAACTCATAGATATGGAGCTCTAGCAACAGAGGGCAAGGAGCTCATTCCATTGGTGAGAAGGGTAGGCCAGGCCTCCCCAGGGTGGGCAGATTCATAGATGTTAGGGTTGGAAGGGACCTCAACAGATCATCGAGTCCGACCCTCTGCATAGGCAGGAAAGAGTGCTGGGGCT